CCCCGCTGAACAGCGGTGCGGGGACGCAGGGGAGAGCAGGAGCTTCCCGAGCCCGGCTCGTATCGATGCTGGCTTTAAAGCTGGTATCGGAGCTGGCACAGAGCAGGGGAATAAGCAGCAAGATGTGAGAGCCGAGGCAGGAAAGCATTTGAATCCCAGCATGACGAGGAACACCTCAGCCTGCCTGTCTGCTCTCCCACCCTCCACCCCCCGCACACAACCCCTCTGCTCCCTCTCGCCATCCTCTGTGCCTTGCCCCCTTCCCAGGGAGCTCAGGGGATGCCAGCAGAGATCTTCAAAGTCCTCAAGGTTCCGGATGCGCTACGAACACCCTGCGGACAACCAGGACTCACCTTCCCACCACGGGGCGGGCAATGAGCACCGTGCCACAGCACCACGGGGCATCGCTATCGACCACTTTTCCCGATGAGCCTTGACCCCCCCCAACCCTGCAGCTCCCAGCTGGAGAAGAGAGAGCTGGAGTTGTATCCGAAAGAGCCGGTGAGCAGAAGTCTGGGTGCACGGGGGGCTTTCCTCAGGCAGCACGGTCCCCACGCTGCAGGCGAAGGGGCAGAAGGGAGGGATCCTCCCCGCCGCCTCGAGAGCTCACCGTACCTGCCTGGGTCTTGGGCACTAACACACAACCGCGTCCCACAGATGCGGGCATAGCTTGTTTCACACCAGTGGATGCATCCCAGGAAAGGGAGAAAGGCAAAAGGAGGGAAAAAGCAGTTTCAGCGGATCTCCTTACCTTTCTTCACCTTCTTTTCCTCGTCTCCCTCTCCTGCACCCAAGAGAGTGAAGATGATTCCCGTCTGGGAGTTGATACCCACGGCAGTCACCACCATCCTGCCGGAGCCCTCCATCACGTGGGTACCTGGCACAGCAGGAAGGCCACGGTGAGACAGGACACTGGCACACCATTCCCATCTCCTCCCCAACACCGGGACACAGGACTTGGGAGCAGCCACCGCTCCATCATGGCACAAACCCAGCCCAGCCCTGCACCGACCATGCAAGAGCTGCCCGGGATTCTCACCTGACAGCAGCATGGGGTCTTTATCCAGCGATTTCTTGACTTGGTCTGACTCCCCGGTCAGCGAACTCTCATCTATTTTCAGGTCATTGCCCTGGATCAGGATCCCGTCTGCTGGCAAGAGATCACCTAGGAGAGGAGCAAAGAGGGGCTTCAGCCCCAGCCCAGGCAGCCGCAGCCCACCCCTGCCTGCCCCATCCCAGGAGGAGGCTTCACATGTCAGCAAAAGGACTCAAAATTCAGTCTCAGACCAAATCTAGAGGGAGGAGCAGCGACAGATGGTTTTTATAAGATGATATCCAATAGCTCCAAAATCTTCACTGATGTACGAATGCATTCGTTGTGAGGACGTTTGCTCAATCGGACAGTTCTTCCCCCACTTGGTTTTAACTGAATCAACACCACATCCTTCCCACAGCCTCCCGATACATTCAGTCATCTGCCCACCAAGGAAAGAACAAGCCCAATGTGCAAATGAACACCACATTGGACCAATCTCCTTTCTGGCAGGACATGCAGGGCATGAGCACAGCCCCTGGTAAACAAGGAGCAGGACCTAGTTTAGCCCAAGGGCTACATCTCCTTGCTAAGATGATGTTCCTCCTTATTAAGCAGATGGTCATCAACAAGGACAGGGTCGTGAAAATGAGTAATTTTTGAGACCAGTACATCGCTAAAGCAGCCCGAAGCTGTGCGCAGAGCCTGGCTTCGCTCTGCCAGTCCGGCTCCAGGCTGACAAGCAGCAAGATCAATGGAGCATCTCCCACTGTTCCTGGCCATGGCATGCTGCAAAATGGGAGTAACTGGAGGAGCCACGATTTCCTTCAAGGCAAAAAGGCTGGCAAAGCGGAGAGGAGGAACTGCCAAGGCTCCCAGGGTGGAGGGACAGACCCCAGCCACCGCCGCCTCCACTCACCGTACTTGATCTGCGCGATGTCTCCCACCACGATCTCGGCCACTGGGATCTGAATCACCTGCCCCTTGCGAATGACCGTGAACTTCTGCTCCTGCTCGATGCGGCTCTGGAGGCCCCGGAATTGCTTCTCCTTGCTCCAGTCATTGAAGGCGGTCACCAGCACCACGATGATCACCGAAAACAAGATAGCTGCCCCCTCAATCCAGCCGGCCTGCGACTCGCCCTCGTCCTCCACGCCACCCGTTGACTGGCCACACACTGCGGTCGGACGGAGAAAACTCGTTTGCACAACAAGACCCCTGCTTTCCCCTAACACATGCAGAGCAGAGCCTGGAAGACAGTTACTCCTCCCCTCCTCCTCCCCGAGCTGGTCCAAGGGCTTCCCCTGTGCTCAGGAGAGGGTTTTTACATCCCTGGAGGCGTTTGGGTTTTTTTTTTATTTCCCCCCTTCTTCTTTTCACTTTTCATTTTTGGCCGAGGTTGGGCTGAGAGAGCTGGGCTGGGAGACGGGACAACTGGCTTCTCTTTAGTTGCAGCACCCAGCCCTCCCTCTGCTGCGTGACCCTCGAGTGAGTCAGCGTCTCCCTGCATCTCCAGATCCCTGCCCCTCCTCGACTCCTCACCGACACAGACATCCCGGGCCACTGAAAAGACACTGGCCTGACACCATCACTCAGCCACACGTAGGGGGTCCCTGGTCAGGCGGAGGTACCAGGGGACGGACAGCCTTGTCCCTCCACGCCCAAACCAAAAGGGAAGCCGCATGGGACCTGGGAAGCCACCAGACCAGACGGAGCCCTTGGTCTTTGAGCATCTTTTGGGGAAGCAGCAAGGAGCAGCTCTGAGCCATGCCATGGTGCCAGCTGCGCCCCGACACGTCCACCAGTGCGGGTCCTGGGACGCAGATGGGACTGTGCCAAGGACCCTAAGGATGGGGAGAAGCCACCACCTGAAGGGTGAGCAGAAGCAGCTCCCAGCTCCATTTGCCCCAGGGTGGAGGGACCAACTGGGTGACACTCCAGAGACAGCACCCGTCCCAAAGCCCTGCTCCCCCGTGGCTAAGCACAGCGGCTCACACAGGTCCCCCACCAAGCACCCCACCACGCCGTGGGGACCCCAGGGACTCACATTCATTGTCACCGCCCGGAGGGTGGTAGAATGACAGGCCCAGGGAGATTATGGCTGCGATTTCCAAAATGATCAGCGTGACGTCCTGGAGTGCCTCCCACACTAACTGCAGGAACGTCTTGGCCTTTTTGGGAGGAATGAAGTTCTGGCCGAAAACCTGCCGCCTCTTCTCCAGGTCGGTCGGGTTCCCGGACAGGCCTGGAGAGGTGAGAGATGGAGATGACCGCAAACCCCACCACTGCCCCCCACCAGCACCAGTGGGACCCCCGCAAGGAGCAGCTCCGTGCCTGCACAGGGGCACGAGGGGAAGCAAGGAGAAGCCAAGGCAGGGCTTGGCTCATGTCACCCACGGGGCAGGGGACATCCAGCCGGTGGGACAGGACACTGCCGGAGGCACGGGCAG